GGAGGAGAGAGAGAGAGAGAGAGAGAGAGAGAGAGAGGTGGACCACGGTTCATTTGCCGTGGTGTATTTCCCAGCTTGGGGGGTGGGTGCGGGGCAATGAGATGAGACTGTTTGTGATCATGTCTCTCCAGGATTCATCTCTTCCCCCTTCTCCTCACTCCATCATGGCCTCTCCCGCTCCACTGACCCCTCTGCATCTGTTCTTGCTCACCTGCCGGCCCCCACACTCTTGCAGGACCCCGGGTACACAGTGTATCTCCCAGGGGAGCGGGTTGCCCTCACGTGCTCGGCTCCTGGGCGTGAGCTGGCTTTGGGATACAGATTCTTCTATCAAAAAGGGCAGCAGGACCCCAGCGTAGTCCAACACCCGAATGAAGGAGCCCTGGGCCCGACCTACATGATCTCCTACATCACGCACAAGTCACACGGTACATTGGGTTGCAGGTCAATGCCGTAATGGGGTATAATGTGGAGGTATCAAGGGCTGCAACTTCCTCTCCTATTGGGTTGTAGTATGATGTGGTGGTGCAGCATGGTGCTATCTCAGGGTGCAGTGTAATATTGGGGTGTTGTGTGATATTAGATTAGGGTGCAGGGTCAGATTGGGATGCAGTGGAATTGCCATGGGCAATTATTCCCCCCGCTCCCCTTGCTCCAGTTAGTCAGTAACAATCTTCTCCCCGGCATCTCCTTCTCCCGGCTCTCTGAGCCCCGTCTGCTGCAGTGAAATGTCACCTGTTGTCTTTTCCAGACACCCCAGTGCCCCCCACCCTCTCCCTGAGCCCCCCATGCCAGCTGTAACTCTCAAGGGGGTCTGTTCAGCTCACGTGTTTGGCTCTTTCCAGTTATCACACTGTTACAGGATTCCAGTTCTCCAGAGCTGCTGGAAAGTTTATCTCATCCGGTAACAGTGACACGCACACCCTGAGCTATATAACGCAGAAAGACACCGGATCATACACCTGTGCGTACTAGGTCGCAGGATGAAATCTGTGGAAACTCCCACTGTTTCCATCAAAGTGATGTGTGGCCTCTGAGCTGTCCCTGGCTTCTCTTGGAGTATGTACATTCTCGAGACACCCCATCTCCTTTGGGGAATCTAGGACCTGCAGCCAGGACCCTCTACTGACTTCGTGTATCAGAGGGGAAGGTGTTACCTTGAAGTGTTCGGCATTCAGTGGTGAAAGCACCATAGGATACAAATTCCTCTCTCAGAGCAGGGATTTGGTATCTGAAGAGGTCCCTGGTCCCAGTGGAGTGACCGGATGATTTGCACAGCTGATGCAGAGACCACCCGTCCCATACCCCTGCTGTTCACGGGGCAACCCAGTCCAGCCAGTGAATCCCACACACTGAGGCCCTTCCTCCTGTTGGGAAACATGTGGGCACTGTGCAGGGTTGGGGCTCAGTGAGATACAGGGGAGCAGTTAGAGGAAACGCGGTGGGTGGAAAAACTACCCCGTACCTTCCCCACATCCACCCTGGCTTCCTCATTTCTGGGCAGTACTTTCTAGCTACTGCTAGGCAGGTCTCATGGTCAGCTGATGGGTTCTCCCCAATCTTCTGCCTCTGCCCCCAGAATGGAGAAAATGGGGTGAATAACCTGATGGGTACATCGGGTTGCAGGTCGATTCCGTACTGGGTGCAGTGTGAAGGTGTCTAGGGCTGAAATTTCCTCTTCTATTGGGTTATAGTATGATGCGGGGGTGCAGCATGGTGCTATGTTGGGGTGCTATGTAATATTGGGGTGTGGTGTGATGCTAGATTGGGGTACAGTGGGATTGCAAGAGGGCAACAATTCCTCTATGGGTATACCCTCCCCCCACTACTGTCAGCCAGTAACAACCCTCTCCCCAGCATCTCCTTCTCCTGGCTCTGAGCCCCTTCTCCTACAGTGAAATCTCACCTGTTGTCTTTTCCAGATACCCCTGCAGCCCCCACCCTCTCCCTGAGCCCCCCGCGCTGGCTGTACCTCACTGGGGAGTCTGTTCGGCTCACGTGTTCGCCTCCCCGTGGAGATGAGGCAGTTACAAGATTTCAGTTCTACAAGTACAGGGGAAGCATCATCTCACCTGATGTCTTATCCAACTCCGGGGCCACAAACTTTAAATTGAAGCTAGAGGACTCCGGGTCGTACACCTGCCTGTACTGGATACATCCATCCGGAAGGGAGATCCCATCTGTGAAAAGTGCCCCGGTCTCCATCTCTGTGAGAGGTGAGTGTTGTGCTTTCTCCAGCTTCCCTTGATGCCTTTGCTTTATGGAGACCCCCCCCCCCATTTCCTGTGGGCAATCCAGAACCTGCTGTTAATGAGATGAATGTTGCACACAAAGAGCAGAGCTGGTCATCTCTAGCAGGGCGTAGAGGACACACACACACACACACACACACACACACACACACACACACACACACACACACACACACACACACACACACACACACACACACACACT